ATTACCCAATACACGACAAAGAGTTCCTCGCCATTGTTTTCGCTTTCAAGGAGTGGAGGCAATACTTGGAGGGGTCACAACACCAAATCCAAGTCTTCACGGACCATAGGAGCCTCGAATACTTCCTTACGACCAAACAACTCACCCGTCGACAAGCACGGTGGTACGAACTGATGGCGGATTTCGACTTTGTCATCACGTATCGCCCAGGTAAGCAATCCACAAAGCCCGACGCACTTTCGCGCCAGTCAGACTACAGACCCACAGATACGGATAACACTTCGTTATCCCACGAATTGAACGCTCACAACTTCAAAGCATTGCTTTCGAAGGAACAGTTCCTCCTTGCTCTGTCGATTCCCGAACCGACGCAAGTGCTGGGAGCTTCACCCACAGATTTATATCGCGACGACGTGGAGTTCGTCGGATTAAAAGGCAAAATCCCCTCGGAAGGACTATCTATCGACTCTGCCGGTTTCCTTCGTCGTAACGAGCAGTACTACGTGCCCTCTCGTTATCGAACGCAAGTGTTCGACAGTTGTCACAACTCCTTGTCCGCCGGACACCCTGGAGGACGCAAAACTCTGCAAATGATCGCCAGGGCCTGGTGGTGGCCGAGCCGACGGAGGGACGTTGTCGATTACGTGGCTCAGTGCCAAACTTGTCAGAGAGACAAGCCATCACGAGCTAACCCGTTGGGCCTGCTGAAGCCCCTTCCCATACCCGGAAGACCTTGGGCGGACATCTCCTGCGATTTCGTAGGCGAACTGCCAGGTTCGAAGGGCTTTAATGCCATTCTGGTGGTGGTGGACCGTTTCACCAAAATGGCTGTTTTTATTCCCACAGTTACCACGCTGACGGCAGAGCAGTTTGCCGACCTTTTCATCGAGAAGGTCTACACTCGTTTCGGTTTACCCGACACCATCACTTCCGATAGAGGAAGCATCTTCGTTTCCAGATTTTGGAAGGCAATATCCACCTACTTGAGGGTCGATCTTCGATATTCGACGGCCTTCCACCCACAGACTGACGGCCAGACAGAGCGGGTTAATCAATGGTTGGAACAGTACCTTCGGATGTACACTAACTTGGAACAGGATGACTGGGCCGTCTTATTACATCACGCTGAGCTCTGTTACAACACCACTCCTCATTCCTCCACCGGTATGGCGCCGCTGACGGCTTACACAGGTCGGACTTACAGAACCGACCTCCTCACACCTGCACTCGATGCAAACACACCATTACCATCTCCCCAGGCACATCACCGAATGCAGGCGTTCGACACACTGCATAAGCTCCTTCGCGATTCCATCCAGAAGGCTCAGTCTGCGCAGAAGGCTGCGTATGACAAGCACCACAGGGAACCGCGCTTCGAGGTGGGGGACTTGGTCTGGCTCAGTACCAGGAACCTGCGAAGTCTTCGACCTTCGAAGAAATTGGACCACCGAAAAGTTGGACCATTTAAGTTGATTGAGAAGATCAACGACAATGCCTGGAGGCTCGAATTTCCGGATTCGATGCTAAAAAACAGGATTCATCCCGTATTCAACGTGTCCCTACTCTCCCCGGCCAAGGGCAGCGTCTCCCCTCCCTCAGAACCATTGGTCGCCCCAATAGAACAGGTAGTCGACGAAGAGGAGACGTACGAGGTGGATTACCTGGTGGGAAGGCGAAAGGCCAAGGTTCGAGGACAAACGGACTTGGAAGATCAGGTCAAGGTCAAATGGGTGGGATACCCGGAGGAGGAAGCGACGTGGCAGCCCACGTCTACATTAGAAAACGACTCAAATTTCCCACGTTGGGTGGCCGAGCTGACAAGCAGATTGAACTCCGAACCCAATGGTTCGACCGCCCCACTGGCTCCACGCCGTCGTACGCTTCCTCAGCGTTTCACTAAATAGAGTTCCCATCACAATTCATACTTCCAGAGAACATTCACAATCTTTACACACTGTCATTACGATACACAGTCCTTACCCCTACATCTTATACTGTACAACGAATTCACCTACGTCCTGTCCCCCTCTTGCTCCTTTCCAACCTACTCTTCCTCGCCTCCCTAGTCGACGGACCCGCGTGCTCTTCATCTTCATCGCCGGAAGTCTCGAAGTCGGGTTCCCACTCTTCCTCTCCTTCGTCGATGGGCGGCGTTACCAAGGACGATCGAAGGATAGCCTTCGACCTTCGAGGACGCAAAACCCGTTGGACCTCTTCTTGCTCTTCCTCCTCATCCTCCACCGCGCGTTTTCGCTTCCTTTCCACCGCCTTACCCTTCTTTCCCTTCTGTGGCCGGACAGCAGCTTTCTCCTTCCCTTTCCCCTTAGTCGAACGGTCATGTTCGACGAACACATCGTCTGATTCGACGTCCAAAGGATTAGAGGGGCGGTCCTCATCAGTGTACTCGGAGTCGGACGGATGCCGGACAGGACGATACCTCCAATGATAACGAGGGATGGGAAGTCTCTTCTTGGACACAGCGAGGACGTCGTCCGCTTCTTCGAACATTCCCGGCACCATTTTGGAGCGATCAAGGTCCTAAGAGTTAGTTTTCGGCGGTCGAACGGTTCAGTTCGATGCACGAACCTTAGCCATTCTAGTTAATTCCTTCAAACCCGTCACCCCCAGCTGAGAAAGGGAGGTATTCCCATCGTCTACCATTGACACTAGGATCCCCCCAAGAACTTGGAACCCCCGAAACATGGACCGATGGAACGGATAGGTGATTTTCGGCGCTGACCGGGAGCCATGTTTGCCGGACGAAGCGAGGGAACAGGGAAGAGCGGTTAGTTGGCAATAGTAACATCTGGTGGTTATCGAACATTAGGATTCGAGGAGGAAACGACTTACTTGCCACCAATATGGATCGAATCGTCCGGGGCGACGAATAAGGGGGCCATACACGACATCTTCTTCACGGTGGGGGGGAGGAACTTGGTCTGGATGTTGCGACACCCATCACAGCGATCTTCGACATCCACTTCTGCTAGCACGAGGTCTGGATCTTTTAGCAGAGCCAGCATACCGGTCCACAGAGCCTGAACGTTTGAGGCACGGTTTCCAATGTTCTTCTGAAGATATGTGGCCAGGATCTTCGAACAAATCAGTTCGATCATCAATTCCGTTACGGATTACACACCAATTGACCCCTGGACAGGTGAGGAGACGCTCGAACCCGTACGTCATGGAAGCGAGTGACGGTCGAACCGTGAGACACGGTTACAGTCCCATTGCTGACCGTCACCGAAGAGGGCGAAATCTCCACACGATCGCCAACAGCGACTTTCTTGCTCTTGGCGGAGGCGACATACGGAGTGAGATACCCCACTTCTTGCAGCTCGTCGCTGGATTGCCGCGCGGGAGTAGCGGGAGGAACAGGATTGGTCACAATTCGAGACTGTGCTAGCCTCGAACCCAGGTCTTCGATCCCGGGAAACTCGTCTGACGATCAGTTCTACGCCAAGATTCCAAACAAAAAAAAAGGAAAACCTACTTGATTCCGGTTCTACCGGGTTTTCCTGTTCATCTTCTGCACTCAATTCGTCCTGCTCCAGTTCGTCCTCCATTGGGACGTCCTCTTCCGGCTCCAGATATTCATCATCGTCAGCAGAGTCAACTACGCGGTCCCTCAAACGCAGAAGAAGGGCGGCGGTTTGTCGAGTGGCTGACGACGGAGTTGCGACGGGGATCGAAGAGTTCTGTTCGAGGGCGGAGGACTCTCGCTTGACGACGTGGGGACGGAGTAGCAAGGTGATCTCTGAGTTTGGAGAAGGAGATTTGGTCATGGTGTGTAAGGATGGAATGTGTGTGTGTGAGAGTAAGGAGTTTAGAAGAAGAATGAGTAAAGGACAAATGGACGAAGGAAATAGAGGACGTAAACATGTTGGAAAAGTCAATGAACGTAGAAAACAGGTCAACGCGGGAATCGATGGAATAAGGGTTTGTGAGGATTGATGGAATGGTTTTGATGGGATCGGATTTAAGGGTTCGAGGACGAAAGGATTAGATGCGATCATCGTGGACTATGATTTTTTGGAAGGGAGGATACTGTCATGACCACGTGCGTCGAAGTTGCTAGTTCGGGTAATATCCAGTTACCCGCCACCGATAAACACTACCAGCCACCCTTATCTACATTACACTCTCATTCCATGTACATAAGGTAGTGCATAGCTTAGAACAACTTCGACGAATGTATCTTGTCTGTCTCAACATACAAGTTCTCTTATACATTTGCCAAAACTTATTATTCACTCCTCGAACTATTTGCTTCGATCCTCGTATCCTCTTACAACTAGTTCAAGTCCCTACAAGTAGCTCATCACCCTCGACGCAGATCCTTCGACCTTCGGTCTGGTCTTGACATATACCGTCATCACGTTGGATCGATGGGCAAGAATGCAGGAAAAGCTCAGGACAACAATCACAGATTTCCGGGACGGATTTGATTGGGAGGACTTGGTCTTAAGATATGAACTATGATCTTATATGTACTTTAATCATACATGCAAATTCCGTACAGAGAACTCTGAATGATAGTTGTAAACCTCACGTCTCATATCTTTACAAGGATGTGAGGTTGTCACCTCAGTGGGATTGATCCCCCGGATCATGGTTTACTACCAAACAAGGATGTTTTGATCATTGATAGGCATGATCTGGACCGTGAGAAGATGTGTTGTGAGACCAAGAAGTCACCTCTTCAGACGAAATCATGCTCTTACTGTGTTTTGGGGAAGAAGCCGAGGGGAGATCCGTGGTTCGATCGTGAAACATACGTGGTTTGACCGTGGAACATACGCGGCGGGTTGAATTCCCATGGGGAGTGGAAAATTTCTCACGTATGAGGATTGATTCTCATGTGTTGTCAAGCATTCTCATGATTGGCAGGCAGGTTCCCACGCACAGCCCCCTTCTTGGTGTCTTCCACAGGGTATATATAGCTAGATTCATGGGGGTGGCAAACAATTGAAAGACCAGACTAATCATTGTTCAACATCATGACTCCCCTCCAGTCCTTGGGTATAATTCTCATGGATGAAACCACTAGTGTTCAGTCAATTCTTGACAATAATCAGCATATCTCACATCAAGACTTGAGGGGGCTGTATAGATTTGTGCGCAGAACCATAAGCACAATTGAGAGCCACATTCAGTTCTGGGTAGCCGCAGAAGGTGTGCCAGTGTTGGTTAACCTGGACTTCATAGGACCCCCAGGGGACATACAGTCAGCTCAAGGTGCACTTTGGAACCTGATTGAGAAAATTGATTCTCTCTGTCTCCGTTACGGAAATTACCTCCGGGCGTCTTCAAGAACCGCAGAGGAAACACAAGAAGGAACACAAGTGCTGGAGGAGACCAATCAAGAAATGAACAGAGCAAGGACTTGGCTGACAAACATGCAAGGTCCCAATGAATGGGCACCGGATGGTCCTGGATTTTAAACATGAATCCATAAGACTGGCACCCCCTTCAAGGAGGAGTAGTTTTTCAGATGTGTGCAGACAAGTGGCAGACCATTGAAATGGATGAGTCTATGATAAGATAGTATAAGAAAGTCCTTGCTATTGTCTATCATCACCTCACTGTAACGACTACAAAACCATGCCTTGGACATCCCACCTCTTGCATTGTCGAGTCCTGCTGTTCTTTACCCTATCTGTGCCCCTCCCTAAGATACCTGTTAGGTGCCGCACAGAAGACGTGACCCTTCAAAGGTGCATGGCTTCCGTGCCGAGCTTTAGTGCCAAATTGAAGACCTGTACCCCTCTGAAGATGCTCAGGTCACAAACGTTCTGCTTCAAAGATGCATGGCTACTCAGGAAGAGATGCACCAGATCGTTTGTTCCCTTTCAGCAGAAAATTAATTCATGATTATTTTGGTTTGCACAGGTCCCAGAAGTTTTACTTCACAGATGCATAATTGGTCATGACAAGATTTCCTAGATCACTTCATTCCTGTCCTCACCAGAGAACTCACAACCATATTTCTCCCTAAAAGACTCCCTTGTCCGGATCACACCTCTGACACAAGTCATGGCCTGACTATGTTCTGGATGAAAACCACGCTGCAAGATCCCACAACGTCCACTCATGTGGTGCATCACCACCTCTCTCCAGAGCCAAGCTTTGTATTTCCTAGCCAAAGCACGCATTGGTCTGTCAAAACTCCCTGTCTGCCCATCCACCTCCCAGGTCTCAGGGAGCCATAGATCATCCTTGCCCTGCAAGTATCTTGAATACTCCTCCAATTGGCTTTCTTGTGCCAGAAAGCCGGTGAGATGTCGTGTTTGTCCCCATCACTCCAAGTTTTGTAATCAGAGCGGTGTTCTGGCCATCCAGTGAGTGTGCTTGAATTACTACTTTTGCCAAGAGAAGGTGATCACTCAATTTCTGGAGCAGTGTCACAAACTACATTGTGACACACCAAATATCCCTGTCACGAATATACGACTGATGATGACGAAGCCGCAATGGCGTGTCTCAAACAGTCTTAAAGGCAACAGTAAGTTAGAGTAGAGAGTTGAAATCAAAGATGACAATTGATCAGAGAGACAGAGAAACAAACAGAGAGCTAGAACCACTATTTGTAGACAAAACACCCCAAACTGAGCCTCAAACTCCTTCCTCTCCTCTCCTACTTCCTGGGGGGAAACCCTGAGGAAACTCTGTATCAAAAACAGCATTTTAAACAACCTTACAGAAGGCTCTGAATCATCCTGGAAGCCCCCAAAAGAGATCTCTTCATCAAAGGTTGAATTCATGAAAAGAAACACGAATAAAGGATCCATGAAATGTGATCCTTTGATACCTGAAACTCTCCTATGCTACCTGGATGAGCTCTGATCTTTCAGGGGGTTCAGAGGGTGTTTCTTAGGCGCCCACATTATGCAGATTTTGACTCAAAACCACCTGGTTCAGTCCTGCGGGTTCGGTAGAGGTTCGAGAGGTTCGAATAGAGGCTAAATATGCTTAGTAGAGTGGTTTTCCTTCTGGTTGTCTCAGTTGAGTCGGTCGCACTGCTGAAAGAGATGAAACCTCTGACCATCAGTGCGTACTCCTCATCACTAGTAGGTACTCTTCATCAGTGGCGTACACTTCTCGACCAGTAGCGGGTGTGTATTGATCAGTAGCGTGTTTACCATATTCAAACACGTGTTTTCACAAGGCTATCTGTTACGGGGTAACAACAAATCAAGAGAACTCCATCGAACTTGACGGATTAGGAAAGAGAACAGCGAGAGCTGGAGGGAGTGCTGCAGTAGGTAGGGACGGGTTTTCCCTTTTCGAGATTTCCCCACTGGGTTTGCTCAAAAGCGGTTTTTCACCTGTCCGAGTATGTACATAGACGCTTGCAGTAGGACTGAGAGGAGGACACGGACTCTTGTACATAGTATATAGTACAATCAGCAAAGTACCAACTTTGCTGATTCTTCAATATCATTCTTTGGCTACATCAATTGCAGAGGAGACACGATCCACCACATTGCACCAGAGACACACAGATTTCCACAAGAGCTCCATCGAATTCGACCCAACCTGCGACCTAGTCATCGTGTTGCCAGTACCGTTACACTATCCTGACAACCGGTTGACCGGTTGATGCTGTGGTTGACCCGGTGGTTGACCCGGTGGTTGACCCGGTGATTGATCCTATGATTGACCCGGTGATTGATCCTGTGATTGATCCGGTGAACCAGTTATTTGGTAACCGAGGGAGTCGTACTACCGTTGACAGACGTACATACTCTCCTATGATGTCAGTGGCGTGATCGCTAATTAAGTTACCCGCAATTGATCGCTAATTAAGGTACCCATGATTGATCACTAATTGAGGTACCCATAATTGATGGCTAATTAAGGCACTGATCAGTAATTAAGGAATTGATGGCTAATTATTGATCATAGATGATTCTGTTGTTTGTTGATTGGGACGGGTTCATATACAAAAATAGATGCCGACCGGCCATCCGGCTAATATTGCTCCCGAGGTACCCTCGCTTATCAGTTTGTCCGGTCTGAGCGGAACCAAGGACACGGAACCTTGTACATGTTGGCCGGAGTGTCACGCCTGTGGGTAGACTGCGGTAGCAAAGGACTGCCTTGGGAACTGAGGGGTTTAGTCTCTGGCTTGTGGACCTTGGTGACTGCCTTAGGTACTGAGGGTTCGAGAGGTTGGGTTAGAACCAACTGAGTGACTTATCAAACGAGGGGAAGGGAATTGAAAAGATACATCGCTGAAGAAGAAAACTACAGTACTAGATAGGGTTTAAATACTAAAATCAGGCTTTTCCAAGAGGCTCGTGCAGACCTGCGGAATACAAGCGCTCTGAACCGTCCTGCACTGTCCTGCATGCATTGCCATGCATCCCACCAGTTACCACTGATATCCTACCATGCCATATCTGTGTTTACCTATGTCGTACTATGATATCCTACTGTCACGCCTGCGGGTAGACTGCGGTTGCAAAGTACTGCCTTGGGTACTGAAGGGTTTTAGTCTCTGGCTCGTAGAGCTTGATGACTGCCTTAGGTACTGAGGGTACTGAGGTGTTGGGTTAGAACCAACTAGGTGACTTTCAAAGATGAAGTTCAACTTCAAGATGAAGATACATTGCTGAAGAAAGAGGGGGGAGATGTGCTCCTTTTATACCCTTCAAAACTAAAGTAGGTGTACTAAATAAAAAGCGTGTGAGGGATTTTCTAGCCAATCACATAAATGCCTCAAAGTGAGTGCACCGCGGGAAACTAATTCCAGCCAATCACATAAATGCCTCACTGCTAAACTGCTGAACCTTCCAGGCTTCAGCCAATCACGTAAATGCCTCACTGCTGAACTGCTAAATACCATGACTCATATTTTCCTTCAATCCTTATCACAGTTCCTAGCATGAGTCATATTTCCTTATCACTATTCTGAGCATGAGTCAGAATTCCTTATCACTATTCATGACACCTACGTGATGCGCCGGAAGTCGGTGACTTTGTCGAAGGTGGTCGATGAGGAACTATGAGGAACTATGCAGAACATAGAAGAGCTGCGAGAACAAGAGACTGAGAGATTATGCCTTACAAGGCATCAGAACAGAGGAAAGAGAAACTAGAGAAGTACTTGGGGCTTATGCCTTACAGGCATGAGAGCACAGGAAAGATAGTCTTGGGGTTGATGCCTGATAGGCTTGAGAGCAGAGGAAAGATAGACTTGGAGTTTATGCCCAATAGGCTTGAGAGCAGAGGAAGATATGAGAGTGGAGGTTTGGACTTGTGATTATGACAAGTCATTATTTGATAGTGTCATTCATGACACTTCAGTACCCCAGGCAGTACTATGCTACCACAGTCTATCCTCAGGCATGACAACAGTACTCCTTTTCACAGCCAAAATGCCTGTTTTGATCATCCTGCAGAATTGAGTTTACCAATCAATGCATGCACACAATACATTATTCACATTCCCCCATAGTATACAACCATCATATCATAGCCATATGTCACGCCTGCGGGTAGACTGCAGTAGCAAAGTACTGCCTTGGACACTGAAGGGTTTTAGTCTCTGGCTTGTAGAGCTTGATGACTGCCTTAGTGTAGTGAACCTGGCTGTCCCCTACATGAGGAGTAGTTTCACCCATCTGATACTTATTGTAGTTCCTCCCTAGCAAGAATCCTATCCCTCCTATTATCTTTCCGTAGACAAGTTGTCCTTCTTCTTAGAGGACTCCTAAACCGTAATAATCCCCGTACCGTAAAATATGGCGTAGCGGTTCCGTACTACGGAACCCCAATCATGTATATAAGCTGGGTCTGAGGGGGATCTCTTCCTCCATTGTCTTTCTTCTCACTTCTTCTTCTCCCTCCTTCTTCTCCTCCTTTTTCCTCCATCCTCTCTCAGACCCTCTTTAGTTTCCTTGATACACTCTTTACTGACCATTACTGACCTTTGATCCATTGTTGACTAGTATTATCCACATCACAGAGTTCCAACAGTATCCAGCCCTACGGGTAGGTTACATTTATTTATTTGTGGTGATCCTCACAAGCAGGATCATTACACTTAGGTACTGAGGATACCGAGATGTTGGGTAAGAATCAACAGAGTGACTTTTGCAAAAGAAGGTGGGGAGAAAGATGAAGATACATTTCTGAAGAAAAGAAAATATGTAAGAAGTATATGGGGTTTATATCTATTTCTGAGTCCATCTTGGGAGCTCCATTGTCCTGTGTACGACAGAGTTGTACTTCTCAATCTCAGTGTCAAGGATACTGCCCACCCTGAGACAGAGGACAGGGGACAAGGGGACAAGGACTAGGAGTGACAAGGAATATACTTATGATAACAAGACTGAGATGTCACGAACTACGCTGTGACACCTCAATTATCCCTCCAGCAACGACCCTCTTTTGACCATCAAAATTCCTATCATGTCTTAACCCCTTCACTCTACATGTAACTCAGGACATCTGAGACCAACTGCGGCAAAGTACAGCGGGAGAATAAGATATACCGGGGTCTGGAGCATAAGGGCGGCAAAGTGCGGTGAAGTTAGGCAGAGTTAGGCCAAGTAGGGACAATGGGAGCAGAAGTACGGCAAATAGACAAAGTTAGACAAAGTCAGGGTAAGTAGGGACAATGGGAGCAGAAGTGCGGCGATGTTAGGCGGATTTAGTCAAAGGAGGAGAAGGATGGCCGGGGACTCGGGGAAGTTGGACAAAGTGCGTTGAAGTACGTCAACACGCAAGGGGGTTGGGTGAACGTCTAGGAGGAGTAGATGATATTAGCTGAGAAGATTGCTGAAGTTATTCAGCAATCCTTGATTGTTGTCAGTAGTGAAAGATTGATAGAGATAGCTACATTCAAATTGAGATACATCCCCATCAGTAAAACAGAACCCTAGTTAGAGTAACTACGTTGAAGTATGCCGTAGTTACACTGCTTTTGATGTCTGCGCCCTCCTTGTTGGTTGAGACATTGATGTTGAAGCGTCAAGTTGGCCGAGGTTTGTCGACCGTCAGTCTGTTAGAGAGTAGTTGTACGACGGTCGTGACATGAGTCCAACAAGGAATGGGACTGTGACCCAAGGAATGTCTCTGGCTTGTCTGACAAGACTAGTGTCACACAGGACCGTGTGACATTGTCTCTTCCCATCAAATGAGGTTCCTTCGGACATCAGTTTGCCTTCAACGATCCTGTTCTCATGAACTTCACCACCCATGAGGGGATTAGGAGGCTAACTTTGTCAAGGACAAAGTGAGTCATGTAGTAAGTTAGGAGGATATGAAGTTAGGGATTTACAAGGTTAGGAAGATATGATGTTAGGAAGATATGATGTGTCATACATCACCTATCTGCCACTTGTCAAAGTGCATTTGCGCAATCAGACACTTGAAACACATACCCCTGAATACCTCCACCTCCACCTCCACATGCTGGAACCTTCCACCATTGCCTCCACCTTTACCTCCACTTGCTTATCAAGCCTCCACACTCTGGAACATTCTGTGCCTGCCTCCACCTTCCCAAAGTAGTAACCCTGGTTGATTGCTGAGCAATCATCCATAGTCCGGAACATTCAGTGCCTGCCTCCACTTTCCCAAAGTAGTAATTCACTCTGCTCGCTGAGCAATCTTTCCCACGTTTGCGCTTTCTAGTTTATTCCGTAGACATGTTGAGCAACCCGCTTGATGGGGATAAATACCCCCTCCAAACAGGTTGTTCCCCACCTATGGATCTTGTGTCAATCCAGTCAGTCCCAGCCTGACATCTTGCAGTCCTGTAATGATCCTGCTTGTGAGGATCACCACAAATAAATAAATGTAACCTACCCGTAGGGCTGGATACTGTCGGAACTCTGTGATGTGGATAATACTAGTCAACAATGGATCAAAGGTCAGTAATGGTCAGTAAAGAGTGTATCAAGGAAACTAAAGAGGGTCTGAGAGAGGATGGAGGAAAAAGGAGGAGAAGGAGGAGGGAGAAGAAGAAGTGAGAAGAAGAAGTGAGAAGAAAGACAATGGAGGAAGAGATCCCCCTCAGACCCAGCTTATATACATGATTGGGGTTCCGTAGTACGGAACAGCTACGTGGAATTATACGGGTTCGTGGTTTAATACGGGCAAGGAAGCGACTCAAGATGAGTAGAGTCTTACTACGGACAGGTCATTTGCTAAGAGTAGCCTCCAACTACGGACAGAGGTCGTAACTACTAGATAGATGAGACAGATACAAGAGAAGTATGGAAGGTGTATACTACTACTCATGTAGGTTCACTACATCACCCCCGGCGGCAAGTAAGCCTGGTCCCCAGGCTTAGCAGTCGAAGTTGTCAGTGGATCTACCTCTATGTTTTATGCATCCCAATTTTATATTTCAATTTTTTTATTTTTTTATTTTTTTTCGTTTACCGCAATCTATGTTTCCTCAGAACCTGAAATTTATCGACTTTTTGTACCAAACATCTATTGAAAAGGGAGGAGAACTTTATCTATTCAAATGACAATGGTCGTCTCATAGCCTGGCTACCCTCTGTCGCCGTAAACCTCAAATACTTCTTAATTCTATGATCCTTGACGTTTGGGTTGTTGCTCCACCAGCGGTCATGAGCTTCTTTCCCTTTTGGTACCCTTAGAAGTCGTCTCTCCACATGAGTACAATATTGTATCCTTCCATCTGGGTATGTCTTTGTTACCTTGTAATAGATTTTTCGCTCGGACATTCTCATCTCGAATCCAGTAACCTCCCAAACTTCGTGGTTGAATTGTACGGGAGCATGTTCTACATCTTCTTCGACACTCATAACTTCAGGTTCAGGGGTGGGAGGAGCAGGGGGAAGAGACACATTCTCCTGTACTGACATTTCCTCCTCGACCCTTCTATCCAACATTTCTTCGTTTGGTTGGGTCAATTCTGATGATATCGTTTCTCCCAAGAGCCGATTTTGTTCGCGCTGTTGCTCTGCACGATCAGCCGGTGAGATATTGCAATTCGGAGGAAAATTGAGGGCGGTGTGGTGTAAGATACGTACTGGAATGTTCTTCCCAGTGTGAGTTCCATGCTTCCGCCAAATCTTCATGTAGAATGAGGTTCATCCCACTAATTTCCATGTTCTTAGGCTCGTCGGGAAGAGCTTTCAACTCTTCACCACTTCCGTTATAGTTGCACGACTCATGAGCTTGAGTAGTTCCCGATAAAACAGGTGATAGATGAGAGTATGTTGGTGAGAATTGTGTGTGGTGTTCAAAATCGTATATCTCGGGAAGGGGTGCCGCTGTGTTTGAGTTCTTTTCGCCGACATCAGGAAAGCCAAAGAAAGTCCCAAATGAATCATTATTCACGGCCCAGTCTCTCTTTGAATGCAAGTCTCCGTAAAGCATCTCGATGTCTTCTTCTGTGGTTGTTTGGGGTCCCAATAGTTCGTCTAAAAGTGTCATCTTTGGTATAAACCATTGTTACTATCGTGGAAGAGTGTCTGAAGTTCTGATATAGACTTACTCATGACCAGACCTGGAGACATAGCTCTCGCTTTTCCTTTTTCAACTGCCATAACTTTGTCTCCTTGTATCTCCGGCGCCGCGATAGCAGTGTCAGCCATTGAGATATCGTTCGAGAGCTCTATGTTTTGTCAGTCCACACACAAAGTTTGGAAGCGCCAAGATGAGTATTGGGTGAGTGATGATCTTATCAAGGTGGGGGAAAGCGACATTGGTGGGGGAGGGATGGAAGGAGATTGTTGATAACCCACCCTCAGGAGGCGGAAACGTTTCCATATGTGCTTGAAAGGCCCTAAAGAGCGGCAGATCACAGTTTTTTATCATGGTGTAGCCTTCAGGAGATGAGTTGTGGTCCATTTTGTTGTATCAGCACTGAGAACGAGGTAATGAGGAGTTAGGGTGGTGAATTGGGTGGGGAGGGGTGGGGAAGGTGGAGGTGAAGTCGGAATTAAAGTCAAGTGGGTCGATATTATTAATTTTTTCTGGCTCTAAGTCCAGCCTTATAAGTGTTTTTTGGTACGGGGATTTATACGGGACTCTACATGTCTACGGGAATTATTACGGGAACTGGGCCGTATCCGTACTGTGTCCCGTATATGTGTACGTGAATGTTGTTCTATGCTACGGAAATCTCTTTGAGTGGTACGGGGCTGACTGTGGGTGGAACGGGGATGTTGTTGAAGACTACGGGACTGTTCCTGTCCTGTTGGATGGGCTCCTGTCTGTCGTTCCAATAGTCCTGTAATGCTAAAGGTGCATTCTCAAGATTCGATTCGGGTTCCCATGTGTCGTCGTGATCAGCATATCCTTTCCAGTGGACAAGATAGTGCCTCTGCTTGTGAGGTCCATCTCTGTGGTCAAGTATGATATCTACTTCATAAGTTGGAGCACTCTCAGCTGTTCCAGGGTCTATAGGTGGAGGTGGTGGTTGTGTGCGTGAGGGGAATGGGTTGGCGCAAAATTGTCGAAGATATTGAATGTTGATGACCGGGTGTGCTTTGATATGAGGAGGTAAATCAATCTTGTACGAGGTTGGATTGACAACCTTGAGCACATCAAATGGTCCAACATATTTTGGTTTAAGCTTCTTTGATCCTGAACCCTTGATGAATGGTGGGCTCAGGTATGTTGTTGAGACCATTACCTTGTCACCTACCTTAGAAGGCCTTTCCTTCCTTCCAATGTTGTATTGTCGAGCTTGTTCGTGCTGAGCGAAGACAAGCGCATCCTGTGCTTGTTGTTGTAGGCTCTTGAGGTTATCAAGAAATTCTTCTGTTGCAGGTACGTCACTTCGTGAAAGTGTGAGACAATCTAGAGGTGTAAGGGGTTTGTAACCAAGGTCCAGTTCAAACGGAGAGAGGCCAGTGGACTGATGTGTGGCGGAATTGTAAGCAAACTCCAAACCTGGGAGATGATCAGTCCAGTTGTCCTGTCGGTAGTTAACATAATGGCGGAGCATTTCCTTGACTGTTCGCACCATACGTTCTGATTGTCCATCTGTTTGGGGGTGGTAAGGAGTTGACATGGCAAGCTTCGTTCCAAATCTCTGAAATAATGCCTTCCAGAAAAGGGATGTGAACTTGGTGTCTCGGTCTGAGATGATGACACGAGGCATACCATGAAGGGGAATGATGTGGTTGAAGATGTGCTGGGCAGTATCGGTTGCTTTGTCAGTTGTATGACAAGGGATGAAGTGAGATCGTTTTGTGAGTTTGTCGGTTACTATCAGTATCATATCATTCTTGTCTTTTCCGGATGCTGGTAATGGACCTGCAAAGTCCATGGCAATTGTATGCCATCTCTGTGGTGGAATAGGCATAGGTTGAAGAAGACCTGAGGGTCCTTCAGCAGATGCTTTGTTCCGTTGACATGATTCACAGGAGGTCACATATTGCCGCACATCCTTGTGCATTCCAGGCCAGAAGAACCGTCGTGAGATGAGTGATAATGTCTTATGAACACCAAGGTGACCAGCACTTATGGCATCATGGTTGTCGTGAAGGATGTTGAGTCGTAAGTGGTCTGCAGATGGGATGCAGAGTCGTTCAGTTCCGGTGAGAGGGTCCCTGTAAGCCAAGAGTCCGTCTTTGTCAAGGGTGAATCGTGCGTTGAGCGCAGTTGGGTTATTAGATTGCAGGTTCTTGATGATGTTGTGGAGCCGAGTGTCATGTTTGTATCCGTTCTTGACTTGAGTGAGGAATGTTGTAGAGAAAACGGCTTGTGAAGTAAAGAGAGGTGTGTCGATGGTAGGATCCGAATTCATTTCTACATCTTCCATGGCTGAATTGACAGTGGGTAGAGGAGCTCTGGAGAGACAGTCAACATTTGAATGGAGCCTGCCTGCCCTATGGCGAATAGTCATCTGGTTGCGATAGGGTTGCAGTTCCATGGACCATCTTAGAAGTCGTCTATTATTCCCTTTGAAGTCAAATAACCACTGAAGTGCAGAATGATCAGTGATCAGAGTAAATTTTACACCATCAAGGTAGGGTTGGAGTTTGGTGACAGCCCAGACTATACCTAAACATTCCAGTTCACTAGCTGTATAATGTTTTTCTGCAGGCGTAAGTGATCTGCTGAGATAGACAATAGGGTGTTCTCTATGTTCATCATCAAGCTGGGCCAGTACAGCACCTAGACCAATAGCCGAGGCATCTGTGTAAACAATGAAAGGTTTAGTGTAGTTAGGGTGGGCAAGGATGGGGGTGGTGGTGAGGCAATTACGCAGCTCCTCAAATGCCTTTTGGCATTCAGGCCTCCAAATATACTTGGTGTTCTTTGTGAGGAGAGCATGGAGAGGGGAGGCAATAGCGGAGAAGTTGGGGACAAACCGACGATAATAGGTACACATACCTAAATATCGTCGGAGTTGTTTGATTGTGGTAGGGGGTTCCATTTCCTTAATTGCTGCTACTGATTTTTCCAATGTTCCAATTCCGACATTACTGATGGAGTGTCCAAGGGCTTCTATTTCCTGGTAAGCCAGCCGAGATTTTGAGGGACTAAGAGTGATCCCTGATTTTGTAATGAGTTTGAGGATAGTGTCAATGTCGTGAAGATGAGTGTCAAAGTCATTGCTGAAGATAATGATGTCGTCAATGTAGACCAAAGCAATTTGCCATTTGTAGCGGCCAAGTACTTTGTCCATGAAGCGTTGGAACACTGGGGGACCATTTCGCAGTCCAAAAGGCATACGATTCCATTGGTGAAGCCCTCGATGTGTTCTGAAAGCAGACTTTGGTTTGTCTTCTTCAGCAACAGGTATTTGGTGGAAACTCTTGTTGGCATCAAAAGTACTTAACCATTGCTTTCCTGAAAAATGAGTAAGGATGTCATCAATACGAGGAAGTGGATATTGATCAGCTTTGGTCACATCATTGACTTTTCGAAAGTCAATGCAAAACCGATCCTTCCCTTTCTGTCTCACCAGTATTGCAGGCGAAGCCCATGGTGAGTCAGATTCTTCAATGACACCTTGTTCAAGGAGTTCAGCAATAGTTTCGTCAATTACTTGTCTTCCAGCAGGAGAGGCATGGTAGGGGGCTTGCGAGATGGGAGAGGCATCTCCAGTATCAATTGTCATCTCTGCCAGAGTTGTTGATCCTAGCTCCCGTGCTCCATAGCCAAAAGCCATGTAGTTGTTTTTCAGTACCTGGACAAGTTGTTGTTGTTGAGTGTTGGAGAGGGAGGGGTTGATTGATAAGTCGTCGAGGGGGAAGTTGTTTTGGTGAGTTTTGTTATCAAAGTGTGTTGTAATGTCATGAGTGTCATGATGGGTTGAGTGAGATATTGGAAGAGTTGCGGGAATAGCCGGGAAGGATTGTCCAATCTTTGTACCAGCTTTGATAGTGATAGGTTTGTCGCCAAGGTGAACGATATGGGCAAAATGGGTGGAAGCTTTTGAATTTCCAACAGATCTTCCAACATGTAAGTAACATCCCAGTGATTTAGGATTTACCACATTATATGGTGTTGAAGGTGGATCAGTGAAAAGAATTCCTACCCTATGTTGATAACCTGGCTGAAAAGTATAAGTCTCCTTGAGTCAAATAGCCTTATCAGGAGAATTGCCTTCAACCAATTGACGGTCTGGCTGTCGACATGTGGTGGGTATGGTCCCAGGGATTGTTTTAAAAGTGAGTGTGTTGTTGGCAAGGTCAATAACAGCACCCATGGGTGATAGAATGTCATTCCCTAGGATTATTTTTGTCAGTAAGTCAGGCACCAAGAAGAATGCTACTGGGACAATGATATGATCTTGCTCTGTTGAGATGAAGTTGAGATCAATTTCAATCCATGCAACAGCATTACTCCTGCCTAAGCCGCGCAGTTCAAACTTGTCAAGAGGGTTAGTCTTCACATTGGGTAAGTACTGTTTAGCATAGTTAACATCCATCAGTGATATTGATGAGCCAGAATCAATGCAGACTCTGTGTAGAGGTACATTTGCTGCATCTGACTTCAACTTTGCAAGAGAAAAGACTGGTGTCTTATCTTTGTGAGCATCTTACAATGTCAATTCCTGCAGGTCTGGCATTCCGTCAATCTGGTCCTTAGCCTTGATGTGGATGTGGCGGTAGGACTGATCGTAAGCATTCGATTGAACAGAATTTACTGATGGTGTCTCACCTTCTACTGCAGTTGAAGTATTGGTGGTCGGGCGAGAGTTGTTTCGAGGTTGCCATTTGTTACCATTATTGTTGGGAATGGAGTTGGGAAAGGTTTGTCGAGGTGGAAAACGATTAGAGTTTGGGTTAGGAGTGGGTGGTGGGGGAGTAGAGATTGTTGGGCGGAGGGGTGTCTGCAGTGTATTACTTTGGGGAGCTTTGTTTGGGCAGTCTCGCCTCCAGTGATATCCACCACAGACACATGGAGTGCGAGGAATAGATGTGGTTTGATTGCTGTTGTAAGCTCGAGGTAGTCCAGAAGTTGAGTTTGTTGTTGTATTTTGTGTAGTGTTGAAGCGACCTGTAGATATGTTAGCATTATTCAATGTGGAAGAGGAACGATACTGTGATTGATTACCTCGGCGCAAGCCTGGTTCCAAGTCCATCAGATGTCTCCTAAAGTCCTCCAAAGTCATTAAAGGTGTAATGCCAGCCTTGATGAGTGGGTGCATACTGACAGGAATACCTGTGAGAAGGTCATCAATCAAGTCAGCATCCGGGGTGGTTGGAGGGTAGACATAGCGCTGGAGGTTAGTTTTATCCTGAAAATAGTCACTAAAGGTCTCATTCACACGGAGGGTGCGGTAGAGACATTGTCTGCGAAGGGTTAGCTTATGATTAGGGAGATAGAAAGCATTACGAAGAGAGGTTTTCCAAGCATCCCATGTGTTCAAAGCAGCACGGCGGATTGAACCTAGCCGTGTGAACCAAGTTGAAGCTTTGCCAACCAGGATCAATGGAAGTTGTTGAAGAAGAATCTTATCCTGAACACCAGAGTATTCAAAGATTGCAGATACTTTCTCGATCCATTGATCCACATCCTCATTATCTCTACCACCAAACTTTGGTAAGTCTGAGGCCTTGAGTCTGAGAGAGGAATTATGGTCATCAGTCCCAAAAGGAGCAGAAGCACTGCGGCGCTGAAGAGCAGCACAGAGTTCAGTTACTTCTTGTTGTGCAGCCTCCTGATCTTGCTGAGTGGTGGCAAGTACATCCTGAAGATGTGCTTCAAGCTCTTGTTCCCTAGTAAGCATGGAATGTCGAGCTTCCTGAAATTTGATGTTGGTGTCTTGAAGTTGTTGTTGGAGTTGAAGTACTGTCACGAACTACGTCGTGACACCTCGATTACTCCACCAACAATGACCCTCCTTTGGCCATCAAAACCCCATCACGCCTTAACCTCTTTACTCTACACGTAACTCAGGACTTCTGACACCAAGTACGGCGAAGTTAGACGGAGTTAGGCTAAGTAGGGACAATGGGAGCAGAAGTGCGGCGATGTTAGGCGGAGTTAGGCTAAGTAGGGACAATGGGAGCAGAAGTGCGGCGATGTTAGGCGGAGTTAGGCTAAGTAGGGACAATGGGAGCAGAAGTGCGGCGATGTTAGGCGGAGTTAGGCTAAGTAGGGACAATGGGAGCAGAAGTGCGGCGATGTTAGGCGGAGTTAGGCTAAGTAGGGACAATGGGAGCAGAAGTGCGGCGATGTTAGGCGGAGTTAGTCGAAGGAGGAAGAGGATGGCCGAGGGCTCGGGGAAGTTGGACGAAGTGCGTTGAAGTACGTCAAAGCGCGAGAGGGTTGGATGAACGTCTAGGAGGAGTAGATAATATTAGCTGAGAAGATCGCTGAAGTTCTTCAGCGATCCTTGATTGTTGTCAGTAGTAAAAGACATATAGAGATAGCTATACATCGGGATACATCGCCATCAATAGAACAAAGCCTTAGTTAGAGTAACTACGCCGAAGTACGCCGTAGTTACACTCCTTTCGACGTCTGCGCCCTCCTGGTTGGGTGAGACATCGACTCAGAAGCGTGAAGTTAGCCGAGGTTCGTCGACCGTCGGTCTATTAGGAAGAAGTTGCTCGACGGCCGTGACAGTATCAAGGATCGCTCTTACCGACGACCCGTGCGAACCTCGGAGAAGTACAAAGATAATATGGAACCAGAAAGAAGAATTACACGAGGGATGAGTAGGGATGGAGACAGGATGGAGGAGAACGAGAGGAGAGCATTGGAGGAGCTTAGCAGAGCAATGGGGCAGGACCTTGGAGTGGAGGATAGTGTGGGGGGATCAATTCAAGGAGATGAGTTCGTTCCACCGGTGCCTTCTAACCCTCCTTCTCCTCCGTCTAATGCTCTCCCACCTGCGGGATCCCCACTTGGATCAGACCAAACCCCACGCCCAAGAGAAAACACTGGAAGTACGGCGAACTTGGGAGAAGAAGGAACACAAGGGGTGGTGTTGGCCTTGATGCAGATGGTGGCGAATATGAACAAAGACATGATGGAGGAGAGAAGGCGTAGGGAGGAATGGGAACAGAGAAGAGAAAGGGATACAGTGGGCGGGATTGCAGAAGGGATATCAGAAGGAGTGAGGTACGCCATGGGACGGCAAACTTCGGCGACCCCAAGCGTAGTGGGCGAACAACGGAAGGGGATAAAGCTACCTAACCCAGACCTCTGGAGAGGAGATCGGAACAAGTTAACCGCCTTTCTGTCTGAGTGCGACGTACATTTCGAATTGAACTCTCATCTTTTCCCCGACGACACTAAGAAAGTCTTTTTCATGATCTCTCATCTACGCGAAACGCCTCTTCTTGCAGTGCAGCCCGATCTATCCAAAAGACCTCTTCCTGAGTACCTCACGACACACGATCAGTTCGTTAAGTACCTCAAGACTAACTTTGGTGATCCAGACGAAGAAGGAACTGCGGCCCGACAACTTAACGACCTCAAGCAAACCGGGTCTGCTTCGGACTACTTCTCCGCCTTCCAGCGACATGTTGCGATTCTTAAGTGGTCTGATGATGGAAACCTAGTTGACCGAGCCAAGAAAGGACTAAAATCGCACCTTCTAGATGAAATTGCAAGACACGGTAGATCGTTTGGGACTGTGAAAGAGCTATTGGAGTTTGTGATTCCCTTGGACAACCGCCTGTGGAGGAGACAAGTGGAGAAGGAGGCAGAGAGGAAAAGGGAAGGAGGGATAAGGACAACGACAGTGGTGGAAAGTCAGAGGACGGAGAAGAAAGAAGAGAAGAAATGGGAAAAGGGGCAACCTTTGGCGCAGGGTGGTGTCCAGGCGGCTATGATGTCGACGGTGGTAAAGAGTACACCGCCAAACATCGACGAAGTTCGCCGAAGATGGCCTAGGCCGAGCTCCGATCTGAGGGAGACAAGGAGGAAGGAGGGGAAGTGTACCGAGTGTGGTGAAGCAGGACATTGGCTGAAGGAATGCCCTGTAAGGGAGGCTAAGGTTAAGGTTGGACTGTTGCCTCCATGGGGGGAGAAGTTCGGAGAACGTGGTGGAGGATCGGGAGGGAACGCAGTACCTCTCGGACAGAGGAGGAACTTGAATGCGGTTGGAGGAGAAGTAGATTTGGAAGAGGACCAGGGAAAAGAAGAGGACCTGTCGCAGTAGGCGAGGCTCGGCGGGTCCGCCATATTCTCTCGGCCACCATTCCCAAACCCATAAAAGAAACACAGCTGATGGAGCCAGAGGATTGTGAATACAAAAATACACCACTCAGTACCCCTTGTTCATGCAATGTCGATAATCATCTCCTCATCCCTTCCGTTTCCAGAGATCAACCTAAATCGGACATTTTCATTAATGGAATGAAGCTAACTACGCTCTGGGACACCGGGGCTACTTGTTCATATATAAGTCCTAGAGCGGCGACGAAGATAGGCGCAGAAAGGAGACAATATCAGGTGAGCGTACCCGTTCACATGTTCGACGGCTCGGTGAGTGTCGCGGGACCTATCACCGAGTTTGTCGAAGTCGGATTTAGTTTGACGAAGGACGCCGAAGTGCGATCTGTTCGTCTCGATGTAACAACGCTCTGCGACGCAGATGTTGTGATAGGGTGGGATTGGATGAGGAAGGAAGGGGTTGTCCTTGATGGAAGAGACAACTCGGTGAAATTTCCCATCCCAACCCCACCAAGTGCGGCGAAGTTAGCGGCCATAGGTCTGCCAACTCCGACGGACGCGATAGATCTCCGAGACAAAGATGATCAGGATGAACTGAGTCCGGAGGAACAGGAGGAATTGTATCAGGTGGTTCCCGAACAATACCACTCGGCTAAACATCTTCTCCGTAAGTGGATCAGACGAGGTATATAT